GCATCTAAAAAATAGGAGAAGCACTTTAGGCTCCCCCGCATTAAAAAAAGCCTCTCTCATAATTTGTATTATTCACCAGTGAATTCAAGCCTTGCTCTGACATGTCTGCATCTATTAGACCTGGATAAGGGGTCAATGACAGACACCACCAAAGTTCAACTTAGTTAACCAGTGAGTCTTATTGGGTTACTACAGAACAGCAATGACTCAGGCAGCTATACCACCAAAGCCTACTCCAAAGCTGGAAACTGGGAGCTCATTGCAGGGCACTCAGGCAGGCAGCTCAGCAGGCTGGAGAGTGTCTCTTCTAGGCAAGTCAGCTGTTTGAACCTCTTCAAAGCCCTCAACTGGTCTCTGCTTCTTCAAGGTAGTTTGGATGGTCTCTCTTTCTTCTAGACTGCTGCTGGTCTCAGCCTCCACTTGGCAAGCTCAGCGCAGTGTTTCTCAGTAATCCCTGTTGCTTGTATGTGCTTGGTTGATGGGAATCTAATGAATCTGGTCAGTTTCGGGGATTTCCTGAAACTTTAGAGTTGATCACTTTCTGAACTAAACTCTCAGAACATACTGTGTCTTATTGAGCTTCCCTCCAAGATGAGGGATTTATCCAGAAAGAAATTGCTAGAGAACCTCACAACCACTATTTTGACGGATTGCATTTGATGGTGATGGATGGGCACATAGCCAGGTTGGGAAAGAGAGGCAGTGATGTATGTACAGGCTGGGGATGGATGGGTGCAGGAGAGATACCTGGACATAGATCCCAGAGGGTGCTAGTTAGGAGTCATGGAGGATGGTTTGTATGACCCAAACTGTACACACACTTACAGTTTAAAATCTGTAAAATCTGCACTCGGTAGCCCAAGGCTGGGCGGGCTCAGCTGCTCATCTGTGACTGGAGAGTACACCAGGATGAAATATTTAGAAGCAGCTTGAAGCTTACTTCCAACCACTGACCGAGGGAGGTCAGGGCTGAGTGGGGGCTTCTTTGCTATACAGGCAGAGGAGATTCCATTAAAAGATGAATTCGCTGAGGGGAAATCACACCGGACGGAGAGCAATAGTGACTATAACATGTAGGTCTACCACGACTATATCTTGACTGGGCTATTTCTGACAACTTACTCTGGGATGGCCTATAGCTGTTGAAGGCACATGAAGAATGAGAGTTCATTAGAACACATCATACTTTGTTTTTCTCACAAAAGACAAAGTTTGGGGAAAAATTACACGGAAGAATGATTTGGGATAAGAGAGTCCCATAAGAAATACTACAGATTGAGGTTCCAGGTGCTTCCTCCTTTTCCTCTTTGACATAATTAACACTCACAGTGGCTATAAAGGAGAGGAGGAGAGGGAGGGATAAGGGGGAGGGAGGAGGGGAGAGAGAGGTGGAGAGGGAGACAGAGGGAGGGAGAACCTACTACTATCTTGTACATGTTTAGAACTAACTATTCTGTCATTAGTTGCAAATTACAACTGCCCAGGGATTGAATAAGGGGCCAACGACCTGTCCCACGGTGGAAGTTGTGTTAACATGTCTAAGAGGCCCTGATATGCATGGAGGCCAGGGGTTCCATGTACCCAGGGCTCCAGAGATTTGAGACTTCGATGTCAGGCACCTGTGATGACCTCTCTGGGGCACAGGGATGGTCCCAGGAAGCAGCCCTTTGCTCTCTTCCCCAAGCCAGCACTGTCAGTATTTCTCTTCAAGGTCTGCAATTTAAAACACTGACATCCCCCTCGGAATGGACTGATTGATCACTTGCTCCCTGCAGCTAAGGTCAGGAGGCAACACAGGTTCAAAGGCAGCTAATTGGGGTCAGAGGCCACTGACAGTTCTAATTTTTGTTTGGACTGCTTGTGTAAAGCAATGAACTGTAAACGAGGCCAATGTATTCTCTAATGGCCTGACAGACAACTGAACTTAGTAGACAGATGGAATGATTTAGCATCTGAAAAGATGGCTAAATAGTTCCTCATCATCGTCTGGCATACGTTAAATTAGAGAAGAAATAAAGGAGTTGACTAAGTGACTAAATTTTAAAATTAAAAAACGTCCAAGGCTTTTCAGGCACAAAATGTAACTGAAAAGTACCACGAAAGAAAAGTTTATAATTGGTTTCGCCATGTAGATGTGCATTCTTCCTTCTGAATTTACTTTTTAAAAGCCTCATCAGATAAAATAAAAATATAAAATTGTGTGTTTATAGACTTATTATAGAAGTGGGTTCATGGTCTTATGATAGAAAAATTTCATAAAATTTAACCATACCTTCCCAATAGCAGCCATAAATAGGTAACTCATAAATTTAATACCATCTGAAAAGAGCATTTAATAACCTCCCTAGGAACTAAGAAAATCTGAGTGAAACTAGTTGTTTCTTTTTATTCACCAAGTGGCAAGATACTTAAAAAGATAATATGTAAATATAACAAAATTAAAATTTCCTGTACACTGTGTAGGTAATTTGCTATATTTGTAAAATTTCTTTTCAGCTTCTTCATATTCCAATAAGCTATTTAGAAATAAAAAGATTAATGTGTCACAGTACACATTCATTCACTTAACAAAAATTTGAAATGATCCAAATTCCCTAATCTAGAATAACTTCGTCTAAACTATGTATAACTACATAAAGGTATAATTATTTTGAATTTAGTTATTGAGTTTTTTAAATGTTAATAGCATTAGTATTGGAAAATGAGAAGTGTTCAGAGTACATTGATGTTTTTGAAGTGCAAAAGATTTATTTCAAAATGAAAAATTGTTTGTTTTTCTGATTATAAAAATAAATTTGGAAAATTAAAAAAAATTTAATGATACAGAAAGCCCAAAGGAAAAAAAAAAGAAAACAATCAAAACTGAGAAACCAGTGGGTATCCTTCCCTAGTCCTCCAATCATATCTGCAGGTACCCATTCCTTTGCAGAAATTCGCATAATACTATTTTATGATACAAGCAGATCTGCATATGAATTTGTTTCCTTTCATTCAAGACATTTACAAGTCTGTTTCAAGCCCAAATTAGACATCTTTAGTATCTTACAGTATTCTTTTAAAACTGTGATTTTTAAAACTAAATTAAAATATAACTACATCATCTTCCTCTGTAGAGTGAAGCCTTTTCCTTGCCAGCCACTTTGGTTTTTCCCCACCAGTCGCCTGGGCTCTGCCGCATTGCAGTCCCCAAATAACATACAAGACGCTGTATTAATTATGAAGCTGTTGGCCTTGCTTGTTTCTTACTGGCTAGCTCTGACTTAAGTATTTAACCCATCTTTGTTAATCTAAGTATTTCTCTTACTGGACAGACATCTTCTCTGGTGGGCTACATGATGACTCCCTGTGTTTCTCCTCCCAGAGTCCTCCTTGACTCCTAATCCCACCTATCTTGCTTCCCTATTGGCCAACAGTGCTTTATTGACATATACACAGGACTTCCCCATTATTCCTCCATTCTCCAACTCCTGCTATGGCTCCCACCAACCCTCTCTTAAATGCATTACCTCTTTAGTAATTCTCATTGCTTACTATGTAAATGCACACATATAAAATAAAGCCTGCTGAATCCACTTAGTGTTACTTGTGTGCATATGATTTCAGGGCTGATCACTCGGTTACCTTGCAGTATTCTTCAGTGTTCTTTCTGTGACCTTGCTATAGGTATAGTTCTGAACACAACTTGCATACCATCTCACCACACAGTACCAGCAAACACTGCCTGAAAGCCGTTGCTCAGATCTGAGACTGTCACACGTCATGAATTGCAGTGCTCTTTCCTGTGCACACAAGGCTCTCTGCCCTTGTGGAGACAGAGGTCTATTTAGTATTTTCTACACTCATTCCTCAGCATGTGAACATCAAATAGGTATATCTTTGGTCTGTATGTGTTCGACTGTTTGATTTCTTTAAAAGAACAGTGACAGTATATTTTCCACTACCCTCATACAGTAAACATTTCTGACTAATGTTTAGTTAGGTAACTAAAAGTTACCTAAACTTTGGCTTGCTTCATGTTGGACCATGGCAGTAAATCTCCTGGGAATGCTTTATTGAAATCCAGACACTACAATGAAATACACTCTGTCACACTTGCAGACTGCTTGGTTTTTAATTTTGCTATTTAAGGTGCTGGCTTAAATTTCACACATGGACAAAAATCATCCAATGAATTCTGACTGAGGAGTAGAACAAAATGTCCAACAATTTCTGAAATGGCCTTAAAAATACCTATGGCGTTTTGTAAGACAGATTTGTGTGAAATGACTTTCTTAACATTTACAATTCTAAAATCAAATTGCTGATCAACTCTAGAAAATGATTTGTATCCTGCAACACCAAATATTTAGTCGGAATTGAATTATTTGTGTAAAATAAATAATCAACATCCATCTCATTGCTTTTGTTTTTAATAAGTGGTAGAATTATATAGAGAATTGTTAGAAAATTTAAAATGACTTACCAGTAAATATTTGACTTGTATTATCTATATCCTATATTTAAATATCTGTGGTCATGTAAGAGTTTCTTGGGCAAAGTGCTTGCGAGTGGAAATAGATTAAGACACAAATGACAAAAGTATTAATAATCTGACCTAGCTATCTATCTTCCTGTGTTTCCCACCATCCTTTATGTGTCTGCAGCAGAAAACAGTTACCATAGCAGCACCTCCCCATTCTTTCAGAGATCTGATAGCATTTTTTTTAATCAATTTGCAACTCAGTTCAATCTCTCATTTACCTAGAACTACTCTTGCTGCCGCCTGGCGGCTCCTTGGAATCATTGATGAATATTTAAATGCTTTTCTTTCTGTGTTTTAATCTGTACATTTCAAAAATGGTTTTAGGTTTACAGACGAGTCTTAGAGACTATGCATAGAGTTCCTGTATGATTCACTTACTGTAACTAAGGAATTGACTAGAGGCAATCTTAACTAATGTCAGACTGCACTTAGATATCACAGCTCATCAATATCCTTTGATCCAAACTCGAATGCCATGTTGACTTTATTTGAGACTTGTCTCAGATTTCTCCAGTCTGAGAAAACCCACCCTTCCCATGGTTCCAATGCTTGCATGGAGCTCCAGCCAGGCACAGAGCGGGAGGTTCCTTGAGTTTCTTTGGTATCTCATCTTTCATCAGGGCTGTAGGTTGCGGGGGAAACATCAAACGTTAGGAGCCCTTCTCCTTCTTGCTCCTTCTGTCAGGGGTACCTGATCACAACCAGGCTCATCACTGATGAAGCCACTCTGGTTCCTCAGTCAGGGTGTGTCCTCAGTTTCCGATAGTGCCAGTTGCACTTTTAATTTACTACCCACGTGTCTGTAGATCATGAAGCTCCACCAGCTCTCAAGAGGAGCAAAGCTTTACCTTCTAGAGCTATAAATGAATACATAAATAAATAATAAAACAGTGGTACATTAAAACCACCATGATAACTAAACAGTATTTTGAGGGAGATGTTTGGCACACTGATTTTAGCATTCATCTGGGAATCTCATCTACAGTAACTGTTACTCTGGTGTCCTAAAACTGGCACTGAATCCTTCCTGTAAGACTTTCCCCCTTCTCCTCCATGTGTTTATTTATTCACCGGTGTGTCGGTATATACTCATAGACATGTAGCTTATGCCTTGGCCTATCATACAGTATGATCTTTATTTGTTGCTCAAATTGTTTTTGCAATTTGGGTTGGCTTCAATGTCCTTGGGACCTACTCCCTTCACTCCCATTGTCTGCCCTTTAAAACAATACCTCCCACTTCTTGATGCAATAGTAGCACAGGCTTCATTTTCTTTGTCTTCAGCTACCTATGGTCAATCACAGTGTGAAAATAGGACGTGGAAGGCTCTAGAAATATTTCATAAGTTTTAAGTTATACTCTGCTCTGGGTGATGATATTGCTCACCATCCTATATGGGGCAGGAATTATCCATCAATCCAGCACATCCGTGCTGTATATGTGACCAATCCATCAAGGTCTCTCTGTAGCCATTTTGGTTATCAAACCTCTGTTGCCACAAATATCATAGTGCTTCTGGTCAGGTGATCCTAACTGTGGCCTGACACTGTGTCACTGTGTCCACGTCATTCAACCTCACTTCATCTCATTGCTCAGTCATTGTGTCCATCTTGTACCATCACAAGAGGGATAAGTACAGTACAGGCTGGAGGACGGGGGGGGGGGAACCGCAGGGGAAGAGGGGAGATATACAACAAGGGAGAGATGGAGCAGGAGAGGGGGATACAAAGAGAAAAAGCTAGAGAGAGAGGGAGAGACAGAGAGGGTTATGTTCTCATGTGTGTAGGCCTGCATAGTATGTATTATATAGGTAAATTGTCATGTGTTATTTGAGCTCACCAAGAAGCTGGATCTAGGAGCCAGTTACACCCCTCTTTCAGGCTCAAGTATGTCTATTCCAAGAGTCCTTTAGGACCCCTTGTGTGGCAGGGAGAAAGAGTCAAAGCATCGTGTCCTGGAGAACAGTTGGAAGAAGAGCCATTTCAAACAGATGTTCCCGTTGTTTATTCCACGTTATAGAAGTGTCTGCAGTGGGACAGACAGCCTGGAAGGTCAGCTGTGGGGGGCTCCTCAGAGGGGAGAAAGCTCAGTGGGGAACACTATGATAGATGTTCATAAAGCTCCAATTTGGTGATGTTACCGTCCTGGTGCTATTTGTTCCATTTACCTGTAAGTTGCACCCAAACCTGTGCTGTGTTCTGACTGGGACTCTCTCTACTGGGAACTCCCACTGGCTGCCTTAAAGGGCTTCCTCAGTTGATTTCTCCTGTATGTTTGAGTACCTGGTTTAATAATGTTCTGCTTTCTGTCTATCTGTCTGTCTGTCTGTCTGTCTATCTATCTACCTACCTACCTATCTAATCATCTATCATCATCCATCATCTGCTATTCACTTTTTGACTTCTTATGTACTTAAAAAAACTTTACACATTAAAACCAAAAGCATAGCAGGTCATTTCTCCAGAGCAGGGGAAACAGCAATGTGTGCTTTGGGGGGTGCGTGCACACACAAACATGCATGTCAAGTCTGGAAGCTGATGATGATATTTTCGCTGATTGTTCTCCACTGTGTATGAATTTCAGAGGCATGATCCCACACTGACTTGGAACTCACCAATTCCAGCCTCTCTATCTAGCCATCTTTCCTTTGGATCCCATCTCAGCCTTCTGGGGGCTAAGATTATAAGAGACCCCCTGCTATTCTGGCTTCCCTCGCCTTTTGCATGATGTGCTGGCAAATTTTACCAAAAAGTTGACACAAGCTAGAGTCATTAGGGAAAAGGGAACCTCAGTTGAGGAATTACCTCTATCAGATTACCTTGTGGGCATGTCTGTTGGGTATTTTATTGATTAGTGACTGATATAGGAGGGCCCAACACACTATAGGTGGTGTCACCCTGGGGCAGGTAGTCCTGGGTAGTATAGGAAAGTTGGCTGAGTGAGCCATGAAGAGCAAGCCATAAGAAGCTCTCCTCCACGGCCTCTACATCAGTTCCTAACTCCCAGTTCCATCTGTCCCTAACACTATAGCTCACTCAATGGCACAGTGGCCTCTGCCCACTTTTCTAGGAGGATCCCTCTGCACCCCACTCTCACAGTACCTTTGTCCCAGTGAATGGCGCAGTCCTTACCACACTGTGATGAAGTCACACTCTCAACTGATAGCCCTAAAGTGTAGCTCCTGGTGTCAGGGTATGGCCTCCTTAGTCATCAGACTGGAAGAATCAATGGTGGACTACCAGCCTCAGAAAGGAAGCCTTCATCAGCCGCCGGTGAGTAACTCTGTCTGGTCCTGGGATTTCACGGAGCCCTCACAGGTACTGGAGGGATGGAGAACAGAAGGCTGGAGCAGCTAGTGGTCCTGCTTGGGCCAGCCACAGACAAGATAGTGACCGTCTGAGCTTCAGTCTGGTCCAGCTTGAGGCAGCTCGGGCTACAGAAGTAAACTCTGCACACAGGCGTCTGGTTGGAAGGCCAAAGGGAAACATTTGGATGTGGAGTCTGGTTGGAGGAAGTAGATAGGCAGGGTGAATGCCCTTGATGAGCAGGTCTTGTCATCAGCCTTTTCATCTCTGTCATCTCTCTGTCTCTTGTGCCTTTGAGGTGAGCGCTCTGCTCCTCCAAGTTTTCACCATAGTGCTCTGCCCCACTACAGCTGACTGTAGACTGAACCATCTTTACTGGCTGACCTATTCCCCAGCCTACAAATACATATTTTAGGTTGACAGGAAAAGATGTCAAGATGGTAGAAGTGGATGGGGGTGGAGGGCCTTCTTCATGAACCCAAAGAAAGCCTTCCAATTCCTTCCTTCCGTCCTTCCTTCTTCCTTCTCCCTTCCTTCCTTCCTTCCTTCCTTCCTTCCTTCCTTCCTTCCTCCTTCCTTCCTTCCTTCCTTCCTTCCTCCTTCCTTCCTTCATTCCTTCCTTCATTCCTTCGTCCTCCTTCCCTCCCTCCCCTCCCTTCCCCCTCCCCCTCCCTTCCCCCTCCCCCTCCCTCCTCCCCCTTCCTCCCTCCCTCCCCTCCCCCTCCTTCCCTTCCCCTCCCTCCCTCCCCCTCCCTCCCTCCCCCTCCCTCCTCCCCCTTCCTTCCTTCCTTCTTCCCTCCCTTCCTCCCTCCCTCCCTCTCTCCCTTCCTCCCTCCCTCCCTCCCTCCCCCTCCCTCCCTCCCCCTCCCTCCTCCCCCTTCCTTCCTTCCTTCTTCCCTCCCTTCCTCCCTCCCTCCCTCTCTCCCTTCCTCCCTCCCTCCCTTCCTCCCTCCCTCCCTTCCTCCCTCCCTCCCTTCCCCCTCCCTCCCCTCCCCCTCCCTCCCTCCCCCTCCCTCCTCCCCCTTCCTTCCTTCCTTCTTCCCTCCCTTCCTCCCTCCCTCCCTCTCTCCCTTCCTTCCTCCCTTCCTTCCTTCCTCCTCCCTCCCTCCCTCCCTCCCTCCCTCCCTTCCTTCTCAGGCATTTTGTCACAGCAATGAAAGTGATGCAGACGCAGAAGGAAACATGACTAAACCGAAAGGTAAGACAACAAGGAGTTCGCTGGAACCATTCAGGCTCTTGCCTACTTGGGTAAATGAACTGTGTGATCTGAAGGTCTCTTGAACATGAAGTTGCAAGGAAAATACGAAATTAGTGGGAAACAATCACCACTCTTTTCTAACGACACAGCAATGTGCTATGGGTGTTGTTTGTTATTGACAGCATAAGACAACAAAGTATTGATTGAGATCAACACAGATGGCTGTCTTTCCTGACAGCTGAGGCTTAAGGGGCAAGTGTGTGTGTGTGTGTGTGTGTGTGTGTGTGTGTGTGTGTGTGTGTGTGTAGGTCAATAGTTCTGAGTCTTCCTAACGCTGTGACCCTTTAATACAGTTCCTCATGTTGTGGTGACTGCCCCCCAACTATAAAATTATTTTGCTGCTACTTCATAGCTCTATTTTTGATACTATTTTGAATTGTAATGTAGATACTTGATATGCAGGATATCTGATATGCGACCTCTGTGAAAGGGTCATTCAACCCAAAAGGGGTCTCCACCCGTAGCTTGAGAACAATTGGTACAGGCTAAAGGACAGCCTTGGCTGTCAGTCCTCAGGTATTGTCCACTTGTTGCTGACACAGTCTCTCATTAGTCTGGATCTTACCAAATAGGCCAGGTTGTCTGATCAACCTGTCCCCTCCCTGGAGTGTCATGTACATGCCACCATACCTGACTGTTTGGGGATGGAATCTGGGTATCAAACTCAGGTCCTCATGACTGAACAGCAAGCACTTCACTAACTAAGCTAGTCTCCTGCCCACAGGTAAATAGTTTTGTTTAACTGACAGGAAAAGGTGTCAAGATTAGCTAGCGGTGGGTGAGCAGGGAGGTCACTTCAGGTTACCTTCCAGGTGCTTTTTCCTCTTGGGTCCCACGCATTGCAGCTTTGAAAGCCAGTTAACTTACTAGGTGGAGTGAGTATTTGAACCTTTATGACAATTGTCTTAGTTACCAGTCTAGTACTACTAGGAGACACTATGACCAAGGCAATACTTATAACAGAAAATATTTGTAGGATTTTCCCAGTGGAAATTTTAGGGAAAGTTATGTATATTATCATATCATCTGTTAATAAAAAATACTTGGACTTCTTTTCCAATCTGAATTCCTTTGGTCTCCTGCAGTTGATTTACTGCTCTAGTTAAGGCTTTAAGTACTGTATTGAATAAATATGGAGGGAGTAGACAACATTGTCTTGTTCTTGATTTTAGTAGAATTGTTTTGAGTTTCTCTCCATTTAAGTCATTGTTCGCTATAGGTTTGCTATAAACTACATTTATTATGTTAAGGTATGTCCCTTGTATTCCTGATCTCTCTAGGGCTTTTATCAAGAGCCTCATGTTCAGGAGTAGTTGGCCAACACGTAATGGATTCCACAGGTGGTTTTTTGTTTGTTTGTTTGGTTTTTTTGTTTTTGTTTTTGTTTTTTGTGTGTATGCTTTTATTTAGTTACAATTTGATGGCTTTTTTTCTTTTGGACTTGGTTTTATGTATTTTCTTAGCTTTGGGGGATTTTGTTGTGGAATTGGATTTTTGTTTGTTTTTTGAGAAAGAACTTAAAGTTGGGTGGGTAGGGATGAGGAGAGGATCTTTTAGGACTTGGGGGAGGGGAAGAATACGGTCAAATATATTTAAATTTAAGAACTGTTTTAAATAATAAAAATACAATAAAGTTTCAAAAGGTTAGTCCATGACCATAATGACAGGAAGCAGAGAGGCATGGTGCTGAGGCAGCAGCTGAGAACTTTACATCATGATCCATTGAGAGAAGTCAGAGAGAGAAAGCAACTAGGCCTGCCATGAACTTTTGAAACTTAAAAGACCGTCCCAGTGACATAATTCCTCCAACAAGGCCACACCTCCTAATCCTTTCCAAACAGTTCCATTAACAGAGAACCAAATATTCAAATACAGGATCCTATAGGGGCCATTCTCACTCAATCCACAACAATAATCTCATAGAAAAAGTCAACGTTTAGGAAAGGAAGAACCAACCAAAGGAAAGAATTGTCAGCAGTAGGTTGTCAGGTACAGGCAGGAGGCCAGCAGGAGACTTCCCTGGTATTGGGTTTTTCAATTGTACCCACCCACCACCACTATCAATTCAGTTCAAACTGCAGGGTAAAGGAAATGTAAGATGGTGTGTGTTGCCTTATGGAGACATCCTAAAATAGTTCCATAATTGTCATAACAACCCACTGAACTGTTGATTGAAAGCTCCCACTACAAATGCAACGTTTCTCTAGAATTTATACACAAATCTTGTGGCTACTGTCTGGAAATATATATGTGAGCCAAGTGATATCAAAAGAACCATTTCAAAGTAGACAAAAAGCAAAAGCTTTGGCAATAAACCCCTGTTTTGTGCATTCTTAAGAGATAAGAGCATTCTTTGGAGGGGATTCAGCTAGGGATGACGTGGGGTTTGTATTGAATCTACCCACCCACTGTGCGGAGCCTGGTACAAGGCAGGTATTTGTTGAACAGGGTTTAAAGCATGCGCTGAGTGTGTGCCCCTTTTATATCTCTTGGACCTGAGGTGAGGAGGAGTTGGCTAGTCTGTAGCAAGGTATTGGAAAATTAAAGGCTGCACCCGGAACTAGACCCGCAGCTTTACTCCAGGTATTCATTGTACTGAGTCAAACCAGGACTGGCTTCTCCACCAGCACAGTACCCACAGATCACAAAACTTTTAGTCCGTGAAAAAGTTTTAAATACAGTGACAGAGAGGGAGGACTGATGAGCAAAGGGGTTAAGACTGGGCTGGTTTAACCCCCAGAAACAGCTGACCTGACAAGGGTTAGCTCTTGAATCCCAGACTGATGGATGGGAATCCAGCATGGGACTGATCAAGACCCCCTGAATGTGGGTGTCAGTGCGGAGGCCTAGGTAACCTATTGAGCCTTGGGTAGCAGATCAGTATTTATCCCGGGTATACACATGGACTTTGGACTCCCATCCAACAATGACAGATGCACTCTCACCCTGGACTCTTGGGGGAGGGTCTAGGTCCTTCCCTGGATGAAATGACAGACTATGGACACCCCCATAGAGGCCTCACCCTCCCTGGGGAAATGAGGGTATATTGGAGGGGTTGGTGGGAGGGCACGGGAGGAAGGGAGGGGAAGGGAGAGGGATCTGGAACTGACATGTGAAACAACCTTGTTTCTAATTTAAATTTAAAAATAAAATATAAAAAATGTTTCATTGCTTACAAAGTTAGAGTAAGAATTTTATACTCACACAGTCACAAATATGATCTTTAACTTTTTCTTCAATGGAGAAGGTGGATCCTGGAAGCCATAAATCAGCCTGGGCAACTTGACCTCCTACTAGGCAAGGAAGAAATAGCCTGATGGGCCTCTCTCCACGGATGCCACAGCAAATGACTTTTCAACTATGGCTTCCTTTCTCCCCTACCTGCCCCTCATTTCAAAGTCAGGCTTATGTCTAATTTGCATACAAGAGGACTCTGTTAACTGTACACTTCTAAGGGTCCTAGCAAACTCATGCAGTGGTGAACCCACCACTATGATGAAGACATTTCCACTGTGCTCAAATACTTCCTTAAACATCTTTAGGGCCACCCCAACACCTAACTCTTGGAGACCACTGACATATTTGCAATCTCTAGTCTTATCTGTTTTAGAAGATAGTGTAGGAATCTAATATCGTATAGCCAGTGCGTCTGGTTTCTCTCACTCAGCACAATATATTTGAGACTCATCTGGGCTGCTTCATGCATCTATCAATTGCTTATTCGTTTTCCAGTGAGATGTATTCCAGATCTGCATCACATTAAAAGAAATCCGTTCACTCCTGGAAGCACATTGTGGTGTTTTCAGTCTTTGACGACACCAAAACCCCAGCAATCATTGTGTTGTGTAGAGAAGGGGAGCTGGGTGTGCAGGCACAGTTGAGGCTGCCCACCGTGGGTAAGAATGGGGCTCCTGGAGTGTTTGGAGGGGGATTAGATAATCACCAAGTTCTCAAAACAGAGAAATGTTCTCAGTTCTGCTGAGAAGTACTAAAACTCTAGCTCTCTTTAACCTCACTATCTGCAAGCACTAGGCTAGAACTGGGCATGACTTGCCATGGAAAATAATGTGAAATCCAGCAGTTCTTTCAGTCAGCAGGCATTTGCTGTGGCCAGGACTCAGGCCGGATAACGTTGGAAGTGAGAGTCCGTGACCCGACTGATGTAGAAGCACCAAGATCCAACATTTTTACTTATGCAACAATCATAATGCTGCATCCTGGATTTGTGTCAAATTAAAGACGTGCAGAGTCCCAAGTTTATGATGGTTCAGCTTATGAGCCTTTCAATTCTATAACGGCATGAAAGCATATTTTGAGTTTTGATTTTGTTTCCGGACAGCATCTAGCTTTGTGGCTCAGGCTTGTGATGATTCTCCTGCCTCTACCTCCCAAGGGCTAGGATTTCAGATGAATTTGATGTTTTCCTCTCTAACAACCAGCGGTACCATACTGTCTGGAGAAGCTGGGCGGTGGCGGCAGGAAGCACAGCCCTCAGCCAGCTACACTGCAGCCCTATTGTGTGCTGTGTGACTCAGCTGTGATGCTCAGTGGTTTAGACTGGGCGCTATTGTCAACCTTCAAAGGGCTCATCAGGATGTATTCCCATCATTAGCTAAAGAGCATCAGTATTGTCCAAATAATAACTGCAACAGCCTCATTTTACTGGAAACAGAAATGTCAGGTGACACCTCCAACATCCAAGTGGAGGAAGGGGTACTTGTGTCTTCTGTCTCCTTGGCCATAAAGAGATTCACAAATGACCAGAGACCTCCCTTTTTCTTTTTTCTGTTAGCAGGATAGTAAGTGTTGGGTACAGGTAGTTAATATGGTTGAACTAAGGAAGTGCTGGTCAACTCCAGTGATGTTCTGCTGCTGAGTAAATGAGCCCTTATGAACAGACTATGTCCTGCATGTTCCCTATGTGAACAGACCATGTTCCATTACCTACTTCAAGATGCAGAAAGGGGTTCTATAGGAATGCAATCCATTGTCACAGCCAAAGGCACCTGCTCAGCTATCTGGGTCCCGGTAATTCAATGCCAATATCATCAGAAGCTGCTTGCCTGGGACAGAATTTGCTCATCTTGTTTGGTTGTTTGGTTGTTGTGTCCTGAAAATGGAAAGATTAAAGTTCTTAGGTGGTCTGGGGTCCTTTCCAGCTTGGAAGTGCTAAGATGGAGCCAGGTGCTTGCTTGTGTGAGGTTTAAGCTGAAGGAAGCTGAAATGGAGAAAGGTTTGCTCCCTGGTCCTTCTTCCTAGTGACTGAAGCTGCCCCTGAAACACAAAAGCTCTTTGTCTCCTGATCCCTTAACAAATGCCTTCCACTCACCTTATTTCCTAACCTCTCCCTTTTGTCTCCTTTGATTTCCCATCAACGTTGGGTTTCTCATAAACCCTCTAAAGGTCTGTGTCAACCTTTCTTATAAATAACTGGGGGCTGAGTGCGGAAAGGAAGTTCACTGTGTTTCTATACACATCACTATGGGCTTTGTTTGTCCTCAGTTTTGACCAAACAAATGAAAGAGGGAGAAAGCTCATGTTACTTAGAAGAAAATGGGGACATCAAAGCCCAGAATTTCTCTTTGGTCAGCCTTCCATTGTGTTGCTATCCTCCCAAGGGCTGGACACCCAATGCTCTCACAAAGGTTCTCAGTGCACACAGACAGTGAAGCTGGAAATCCAAGTCTTGCTCCTGGAGGGGTTTCCTCACTGCCTTCCCAGGGCTTATGCATGCTGCAGCCAAACAGGGTGTGTCTGCAAGCAGAATAAAGGAGGCCTGACTCAGGTTCCCCACTGCTTGCCTATGCCTGGTCCAGCCCTCCCTCCCTCCCCTGCTACCACGGCCAGACAAGCGGTGAAACCAGAGACCAGACCAGTCTTGCAGGGTGGAGAGATTCCCAGTCTCTTGCATGCTGGTGGCAATGGGCCCTGCTCTCAGGTGCTGCAATCTTGTGGCTCCGAGCAGTTCCGGACCATGGACGCCTGGGCTTCTCGGGTCTCACTCAGCCCCTTCCCTCTGTCGTTCTTCTCAGTAGTCTCTGTCCACTTCTCCTTCCCCACTCACCCCACCCTGCCTTTCCCTGGTGCCATTCCTCTGCTGCAAACACTGCCTCACCTCACACACCCCCATCCCTCCTGTCTCTCTTGATTCCCTCTTCTTTCGTTCTCTCTGACCATGACCTCGTTTGAAGTCTCGCCGAAGAGTTGCTTAGCAGCTTCCCAGTCAATGGTGGACACACCAGATGTCCTGGAACCCCTGAAAGAGGCAACTACATTTTTGATCTCTTGTGTCAACTGTATTTGTCTTTGGGTTTTCTCTTTTGGCCCTAGGATCTCTCTCTCTCTCTCTCTCTCTCTCTCTCTCTCTCTCTCTCTCTCTCTCTCTCTCTCTCTCTCTCTCTCTCTCGTGTGTGTGTGTGCCTGTGTCTGTGTGTGTTCTTCCTCTCTCATACCCTAAAAGCCTCATTGTATAAAGAATGCCCATTAGTAAATCAAGACTGATTTCCTCAGGGCTTTGGGAAAAGGAAGGTAGTTAGTAACTTCTATTTCATACTGCATCTAAGTGTTTTTTATATTGTAGAGTGAGGTAACCCTCCTCTTCATACAGGCAGAGAGTCCCCAAAACCTTGAGTCCCCACCCTCATTCATATATATGAATCATTTCCCATGACCTGTGGTGACTTTCCTTTCTAAGTGGAATGACAAGGCGAGCCCCACTCCCCATAGAGGCTCGTCAGTGTAAATGCCTTACTCTTTAGCAGGAGAAGAGATAGTTCTAATATGGCCTGTGGTCCTGGTGGGCTGCAGGGCTGCAGAATGGAACAGCCTTGCCTGCAGCACTTCCCTCCAGGACTAGGCAGGCAGCCCCACCTCATTGGTGTCTGGCCATGACATGGACGGCTTTTGTATTCAGTCACAAAGATGCAGGGTTCCAGAAGCCCGGTGACACTAGAAAAATTTAGTGTGTATTCTCCACTGCTTCCCCATACTCAGGCTAGCCTCCTGGCCCCCTGGATTTGATATTTGTGTCAGAGGCCACAAGACTGTTCGAGAAGGGCTTCTGGGTGGAGGGGGGGGGTCAGTCCTGCAGCTTTGCTGGTGTGGGTTTTAGTGAGGCAGGTCTGCTGTTTCAGTTGCCGGATTTCAATAGCACATCATCAAAGGCAATGAATCTTGTTTTGATTAGTTATTCCATGGTAAAGGTTGACTATTAGTTGAATTTAATAGTCTCACAACGTGTTGACACTTTTCCCTGCAGGTGGAATGTTCTTTTCACCATTGATGAAAAACAATGCTTAAGACAATTCTTGGGGCTAGAAATATCAACGTTGCCCACTCCTGTGGAAACAAAGAATCGAGGAGGTGTTGTCTTTGTTATGGATTGACACAGAGATTATAGATTCAGTTTTTGGGAGTAGGGAGCCAGATATCTATTAAAATGTGTCCAAATGCAAGCGTGAAATAATCTATCATTCTGGACATTCTAGTGTTTTTCTCGAGCTCATGGAGTAACTATTATCCATGCTGATTCTTAGCCCCCTAATCAGATGAACTGTCTGCTGTCCTGTTCCGGTGACGTGTGCTGTGCAAGGAGTTTAACTTCGCAGTCAGAGGTGAAGGTTTGAGTCTAAGTTCTCAGGCTATTCTTCATCCTTCAGCTCCCACTCAGAGAGTTGTAATACGTGCTGATTAAACCGTACAATGGTAAAACGCCTTGCAGGGCACAGTGCCTGCCCTGCTCTGGGAGAACAAGGCATCCACCCCTAGGCTGTGGTGGCCTTACTCTAGCAAGCCACTAGGTGGCGTGTGCTCAGAGAACTACTAATCTATCTCACTGCTCCCCTAAATGTTCTCTGTTGCCTTTTGTGAGTTTCTCTCTAATTAAATTAAGAGCCTAGTCATTTTGGTACAAATGATGGGATGGCCATTATTCTACTACCAAGACACACATCTATCCAGAGTTGCACAACAAGTAACACAGGCAGAAAAATAAATGCTATGAAGAGAGAGACGTGTGTGTGTGTGTGTGTGTGTGTGTGTGTGTGTGTGTGTGTGTGTGCGTGTGTAGGAAAGGCAAGAGAGGGTTCCAGAGAAAAGGGACAGAGATGGCAGAAGGGTGACCCTGGGAAACAGGAAGAGCATGCATTCAGTTTTGAAGCCAAAAGAGAAACAACCTTTCTCTCTCAAACCAGAGGCCATGAGGGCAGGGGTTCCAGAGAAGACTGAGGGCCTGGCCACTTAGCCTGTGGGACCCAGGGTGAAAGCTACTCCTCTCTCTTCTCTCTCTCTCTCTCTCTCTCTCTCTCTCTCT